ATATCTGTTATATTGCATATATATAACATGAGCTGCATGAGTTCTATACATTTTTTCTTGCACAAATATTGAACATTTTCTTTAATGTGTGTGTATGTATGTGTGCGTTAATTCTAATCCTGAGACATGTACATCCTGTTTAACCCTACATGGGTGCTGTTCAGATGGTTTTCCTCCAGGAATTTTACTCAGGGAAAGCCTGAAAAACCTTGAATCTTGGGGTTTTCTCCTCTTCCCTTCCTACTATGGAGAGAAGTGATTAAGAACAATCTCAGAGAACGCTTTCACATTCAGACAAACATGGAATCTTCTGCTTCATTCATTTCTGTCTATGGCAAGTGGAGGCAGAAGAGGGAGTATGCAGACTTAAATCTTCCTCCTGGTTAAAATCATAAGAGGAAGATACAGTCTGCATAATGCTGAAGAAGTTGTGAGATCTTCTCCAAAAACAAATTTTGTACAGTCACTCATGGTCCAGAAACAAGCAAATGAAAAAGGAACATTGAAGCCAAAGTGATTGTATTGTCCACATAAAAAGATACACGTTTCAGAATAGCAAAAGTCCCAGCCTGCCTGCCTCTTTCTAGTTGGGGTGCATAATATGCTCTTGGTGGTAATCGGAGGCTATTTTCATAATTTTCAAAGGGTTGTTGAGGTGTGAAGATAGTACATCCCTTTCCATACTGTTTCTATCATCTAGTAGGTGGCTGCAAGGAACTGTCCATGTCTTCCATGACTAAGTAGATCAGGGGTGACCAAATGGAAGCTTGGAAGCCACATGTGGCTCTTTGAGTTTATTTTGTGGCTCACAGATGGCTTGGAGTCCCATGCTGCTCTTGCTGACTTTAAAGACTTAACCTCAAATGAGGTATCTTGCCTCCCTCACTTCTTGAATTGTGGAGAGAATGGGAACTAGTCGCAGTTCTCAAGAGAATTTGTGTTCTTTATGTGACAGTCTTTTTGTTGCTTGTCCCCTCTGTAGCTCCTTCAAAGGTCCTTGGTAGGACATGGTCTTCAAGTTAGAAGTCTAAAAAAGAATTCTCAGTGCTTCTCACTAAACTATAATTGACAGGATTCTGTCCATGACAACAGTAAAAAAACAAAACAAAACCCTACTATTTTTGATTAACATGACATTTGGTTTGAGTAGTTCTTTTTTCTAAAGCTCCATTTCTTCACAGTTAATGTTCCAGGTGTCTGTCTTATCATGCACATTAAAAGAAATCATACACTGATAAGAACACACTTTCATGAAGTCATAATAAATATTTGTTTATTTGCTTGCAGCTTTCAAATTTCTGACGTTTACTGTATGTGACTCTTTCATTGAGCAAGTACGGCCACCGCTGCAATACAGTATTCCCCAGCACAAGGTCAGAGCAGACCTGCACTGCTCTCAGTTTCAGATGCTGCATTTCCCCCCCTCCCCACACACACACACACACACACACACACACACACACACACACTGGGTATTGAAAATTACCACAACCACTATTAATGCATTGTGGATTGTGTTGCGTATGTGTTCAGGCAATGGGTAATGCTGTGACAGAGAAGCTGAAAATACAGTGTAGTCTACTATGCATGCTCTCTGCTGTTGAGACAGTGTAAAATTTGGACATTTTGCACTTTCTGTGGCAGCCATTGTGTAGTGGCCAAATGTGCACAGGACCTAAAAAGGTTCCTACCCCTTGACTAGAGCCCAATTCAAGGTATATGAAAGTAATATTCCATGCATGTGTGAGTGTGTGAAAGATTTGTATGAAAAACTTAAATGCATACATTATAAGCGTGGTAACTGTTCACAAAGGCAGTCATAAGTGATAAAGCATTTTTAGATTTGTTATTTTTACTGAGCACTTGTAGTAGAGAGGAAACCATTGCCCCAGTGGAAGTCTAAAAGCATTTTACCAAACTTACCAATAAAGTCTAGTTCAGTGACCATGTCCTGAAGTCTTCTTCTCATTTTTAATGAAAGAAGGGTGTCTATAATTGAGCAGTAAAGTATCCTGGGGGAGTACAGTGTTGTTTTCCATATGTTGACATTTTTGCCATGTATGTTGTGGGGAGAGAAGCAAAAATACATCTGTAGGAAGTTCTTATAGAAATGTTGGCTTCTGCATTCTTTCTAGATCATCTGAAAGTGATATTTCTCCTCACAGAATCATCTACTATTAAGTTTTGGATAGGTGTATAGTCTTGTGTATTATAATGCTAGCTAGGAATAAGCAAGGTCTCATGTCACACATGTTCTCCTAAAAGTGCAGCTGTGGTGCTGAAAATAAGATGTGTCTTTAGTAAGAATGGACTTTGGAAGAGTTTTTGCAATGGTATATTTTTTCTCCCAATTAGCTGCATCTGAGATAGTTCTAATAATAGGATTTAGTGTACTTAGCTGAGTTTGGACACCAAATTGCCATATACTGTTTACTACTAGATTGACAGCCGGCAATACAAATGTTAGTTCAAACATGCTGTTATACCCAAACTCCGCCCATGCAAGGAGCCAGCAGTGCTCCTGCCACGCGCCATAAATCGTTTACAGTTTGCTCGTGCCAGTGCATTTGAGAAACAGCTGTACACTGGGATTAGCAGTTTGTAGAGGGCCTCTGTCGAGCTAAATTAGGGCCTACTGCCCTGGTTGTGAATGTTGGTAATGGAGAGGGTGAAATAGCAGAAGTGTTTCTCAGCAGCAAAAGGCTATTAGTTCAGACAATGAGGGTGAGGATTTGCATACTGTACTGCAGTGAATAATGGTGTTTGAGGCTGTTAGAGTAGCGATGTGCTAACATGCTTCTTGCTCATGAACCGAGTTGGAATGCCTGATCGATGGCTGCCCTGCGTTGTGGAGAGATTAACTACTAAATGTAACCAATATGTCATCAAGCTATTCCTGTAGTATAAGTGAATAATGAATAGGACAGGTAGGCAGCAGGGAAGTCTCATGGGATTCCTTGATGTTCATACAGAATAAATGGATTGCCATCATTTTTAGATACTGGGAAAGCAGCATTATCACAATGGCTAAATATACTGTTGTGCAATTATTAGTTTTTCTTACTGCCAGTTACTTTTCCCTTACGAACTGTACAGCACACCACCTCTGAGTTACCTTAGGGAATATTCATTCTGATATGAACATTCCTATAGTTTTAACATTAGCTGAAGAAATTGTGGTACAGCTTCCATTGTATTTAGATACTATATAAGTATCTAGAAGAAGGAAGGCCATAACAGCTGTTCTGGAACCATGGAATTTCCTTAAGTGGGCTGTGCATTTGGTCCATTCCATCTTCCACTTAGTGTTCTTGCAATTGCTATTTAATTTTTAGGGTTGCTGCTGTTGTTTTGGTTGTATTTTTGTTGTCTAATGCTTTTTTTTTTTTTTTTGGAAACTGCTTGAAAACCAGTTGGCAAAAGCAGCATATATATTTGTAAATAAACTGCTGATTAACAAAAGCTATACCAGATTAAAATTTAACTCCTTTTTCTTTGGGTTCTTTGTCCTTTCAGAACTGTTGTTGCCCCACTGCAAATAAATACAGTTTAGCACAGAAACAGTAGTTGAACTTGCTGTATTGGTATTATAGATTTGGTGTAAGGTTTAAGTGATGGTTACTACTGTAAATAGCCCCTTTTATGCTTGATGAATTTGTTTCAAAGCCAATTCTTGTTATGTTTTTTATCAGCCAAGTAAAAATCTGTCCAAACTACATTGTAATGTTGGAACTTTGCCCATTAGGTGTAGGAACGAAAATTCTGATTATTGGATCCTGATTTGTGTTGTTATTCCTGTTAGTATAGCCCGAGGAGGGAAGCTTGGCTCTTCTAGGCATCAGTTTGCCACAAATTTTCAACAAAGGTACACATGTGCAAGTAAACTAGTGGAAGCTCTTGTGGAATGATAGTTCTTCGTCGTGGCCTCTGTGCATCACACACATGAGTGCTGTGCCTGCGCAGTGCCTTTGGCCGGAAGATTACAAGCTAACGGTTTATTTTGGCGGGAAAAAGCTCCGCTCTCCCTCCCCCACAGCCTATAAAGAGCGGAGCGTCCGCCATTTTGTTCAGTCTTTGCGACCGCCGTTCACTGTGCCTCGTACCGCTTTCGACTATTGCTTTGATCGTTACTCGTAGCCTGTTTTTTCTCCTTTTACTCCCAGTTTTATATCCCTGATAGTTCTTGTTAGCTCTAGTTATTTCTGCAGTTCTTTCGTTCTACCATTCTATTTTCTTCTTCTAAAAAAAACCCCAAAAATATATTCTTACCCTCTGCACTGTCTCCCTTTTTCTTCTTCTTCTTGCGATGGCGCAGCGAGCGGCCTTCCGCGAATGTGCGGAGTGCAGGTCGAAGATGTCACCATCTGACCTGCACAACCTATGCCTCCTCTGCTTGGGGGAGGGGCATAGGACCGACAGGTGCTCCCACTGTCTGGCCTTCTCCAAGCAGGCCAGAAAAAATCGGGAGAACCGCCTCCAGAGGCTCCTGTGAGATTGGGCTCTTATGCAGTCCGACCCACTGGTCGCCGCTCCGAAGCCTGGCCCGGCTACGGTGGTCCCGCCCTCCTGCCTATCGGACGAAGGTGCCTCTACTTTGAGGGCCCCACCAGCTTCTCCCAAAAAGAAAAGCGAGAAGCGCAAGCATGCCGATGCCGACAAATCAGCCAAAAAGGCCAGAAAAGAGAAGCCTTCTAAGCTGGCCTGAAAGGCGAAGGATCCGGACCGACCCCGACACTGTGTCTAGGGTTTGACGGCAGTGTCGGTACCAGTGCCAACCACCGTACTGACCCCACCCGAGCCGGCACTCCAGGCAGCCATGAGGGTTACCCCTCAAGGGTCTCCCCGTCGTGTGGCTGACCCCCCCGACCAAACCACTTCCATTTCTCTAGCAGGGCTCGATCTCTGACAGAGAGATTCAGGACTCTTCCCCCAAGGCTAGGTCACCTATGCCCATGGCCACACTGGAGGCGGATGTCGTCGAATCCCCGCCCAGGGCCCACCGGATCTGCTCCAGGAAGCAGCGATCCAAGCGATTCGAGGACTGGCGTCGCTCCTGCTACCCATCTTGGGGCGAGCCATACTGGACTGGGTACTATCCCGCGCCGAGGTATCGGTCCCCACCATGCTCTCGTGATCGCCCGCTGCCTCTGGATCCAAGGCGCACATCCCCGGTACCCCAGGATGAAAGCAGCCAGTCCACTTCGCCAGTGGAGTGTTCTTCTTGAGCCCCACCGTACTACGGCACGGACTCCGATGACTCGGACGTCGATTCTACCTCTCCTGACGTTGTGGTGACCTCCTAGGGCCCCGCATCACCGGACGAGTCGCACGTTTCTTTTGCGGAGCTGATGTCCAGGCTCGTCCAATCCCTGGACATCAACGCCATCCAGCGGCCAGGACCGTCTACAGATAAAATCTGTGACGTTGTCTGTGGGGAGCAGTCCACCTCCATCGTCCTGCCCTTGATCACCACCCTACGGCAGGCGATGACCCAGCCCTGGGACTTGCCCTCTCACCCTCAACCAACATCGCGGAGGTACGAAGCCATGTACTGGGTTCGGGAGGAGGACATACCATTCCTCCTCTGACACCCCAAGCCGAACTTGGTTGTGGTGGAGTCCTCCCAGGGAAGAGAGGCAAGGGGTCACACTGCGCCGCAAGATAAGGAGGGCCACAAGATCGACTCCCTGGCCAGGAGGGTCTACGCAGCTTCAGGCTTGGGGCTGCGTATCTCAAACTACGAGGCGACGTTGGCGAGATACCAGTATTTTATAATGCAACGCCTCCACGTCATCTCGACCCTCCCAGACCAACAAGGCGAATTGGCCAAAGTCTTGATTAAGGAGGCGATGCACGTCGCAGTGCAACAGTTGTCCACAGCCAGGCACATGTGGACACTAACTCGAGGGCATTGGTTGGTGCCATTTCTCTTCACAGGCATGCGTGGCTGAGGAGCGCCAACTTCCCCGAAGAGACCAAGCGATGCATCGAGGAAATGCCCTTCGACGGGTCCAGGATGTTCCATTCAAAGACGGACCATAAACTTAAAAAACTTCATGAGTCCCGCATGACGGCCTGACGAATGGAGTTCCAGTCGCTTCCGTGGCGCAAGTGGCCCTGGAACCATCCGCCCTACAGACAGCCGTATCATCCCAGGCAACAGCCTCAGCACAGGCAACAGCAGCAGCGCCGTCGACAACAGCCCCAGCAACGCTACCAGCAGGGCCGCTACCGATATGATGACAGGAGGCAGTGTTGACGGGACTGGCGAACCATTCCTCTACCCTATCCTATACCCACCCCCTCTCATCTGGGGACCGGCTGCGAAGCCGGCTCCCCATTTGGGAGTCTATCACATCTGATAGATGGGATTATCTATCATACAGCACGGCTATAGGATAGAATTCGACACTGTTCCTCCATCGAGTCCGATTCGGTTTACATCTTGCACACCAGTACTGCTCGATGAAATACAACAACTTCTTTGTAAAGGAGCGATTCGTCAAGTAACTCAATATGACGGGCATCACGGATTCTATTCTAGATACTTTACTGTTCCCAAATGGGACGGTGGCCTACGTCTGATTTTGGACTTACGTGGTCTGAATCGATTCATCGTGATGAGGAAGTTTCAAATGACCACCCTTCAAAATATTTTGCCGCTGCTTAGGAAAGAGGACTGGTTCGCCTCATTGGACTTGAAGGATGCCTATTTTCATATTGCAATCCATCCCAAATATAGACGTTTCCTTCGTTTTGCTGTTGCCCCCAATTTCTACAAATTCATGGTTCTACCTTTCAGTTTGGCTACCGCTCCGAGGGTGTTTACTAAATGCATGGCCCCTGTCTGTGCTTATCTACGCCTCCAGGGCATACAAGTTTATCCTTACCTCGACAACTGGCTCCTAGTCTCCAGGTCCAGGGAAGCGCTCCTCACTTCTATCTGTATTACCTGTGCCTTATTGCACGACCTGGGCCTTTGCATTAATACTGAGAAATCTTCTCTCCTTCCGGTACAGAAGCTTACGTTCATCGGAGCCCACTTGGATTCGACGTTGGAAAAGGCGTTCCTCCCTCGGGACAGACAACTGATTCTCGCTTGACATGTTCATCGAATGCGACGAGACAGATCGGTTCCGGCGAAGTCCATCCAGAGACTTCTAGGACATATGGCTTCTGCCGTTGCAGTGGTGCCACACACCAGACTGCGACTCCGTCCGTTGCAGCTGTTTTTCAACAAAGTGTTCCACCCACAGAGGGATCCACCGTCGAAACTCCTTCGAGTCCCATCCTCGGTCCTCCATTCGCTAATATGGTGGTTGAACCTGACCAATCTGACTGTTGGGGTCCCCTTTAGGTCCCGAGGCCCATCGATTACAGTCGGTACTGACGCATCTCTTCTAGGTTGGGGAGCAATATGCTCTGGCCTGTATACTCAAGGCACGTGGACTCGTCAAGAATCCACGAAGCATATCAACTTCCTGGAATTGTTGGCCGTGTTCAAAGCCTACGCTCTTTTGAAGATGTTCTTCAACATCGGGTTGTTCAGATAACATCGGACAACATAGCCACTGTTTTTTATCTGAACAAGCAAGGCGGGACGAAGTCTCCAACCCTGGCCAGACTTTCTATGCAGATCTGGGACTGGTGCATTTCAAGAGATATTACGATAATAGCAGTCCAACTGGCCGGTATGGACAACGTGGAAGCAGATCTTCTCAGCAGGCGCATGCTCATCTCTCACAAATGGGAACTGGACCCCCAGACACGTGACAACCTTTTCCATCACTGGGGGTTCCCCAAAGTGGACTTGTTCACCACACAACAGAACAAGGTGTGTGCGACTTTCTGCTCGAGAGCGGGAATCGGACACGAATCCCTAGGGGATGCCTTCATGATTCCATGGAACAATCTGAATTTCTACGCTTTCCCACCGATTCCGCTGGTGATGAGAGTCATAGCGAAGATTGTTCGCAATCGGGCCACAGGGATACTAATTACTCCTTGGTGGCCACGCCAATCTTGGTTTCCCACACTGCTGGACATTTCTCACGGGGAATACCTACATCTTCCACTGCTCCCATTCTTGATAACCCAGAAAGACAGCGCACTTCGTCACCCAGATATATTATCATTAAAACTAACAGCGTGGCGAATCCGATAGCTGACTTCACTACGTCTCTACCAGTCACTACTCCAAGGGGTTCGAATCCGACCTTTGAATCCACTATTGTCCTCGTTACGTCTACACCGACAACTACTTCAAAAGGTTCAAACTCTACTTTCGAACCCAATACAGTTGCAGCCTCCGAATCCGCTGGGGATGGCACTGCACCAGCACTGTTGGATCCAACTACTGTGCCATCGAATCCGACAGCCTTTCATCCGGACATTCAATACATATTGGACTCCGCTTTAAAGCCTTCTACACGGAGGTCTTACGAAGCTAAATGGAAGCGTTTCTCCGCCTTTGCTGACTCTCGTTCATGCTCTCCATTTACATTGTCAATTCCTCAAATTCTTCAGTTCCTCCTGGAATTACACCACTCTAGACTGAAACCATCTTCGATTAAAGTATATACGGCGGCCATTGCCTATCATCGGGGTATAGTGGATGGTTCGTCCATTTCTCCCAACCTACTATTAAAAGGTTTTTGAAGGGACTTTATAATCTGAATCCGTCGATCAGACCAGTAATGCCCACCTGGAGTCTCTGTGTTGTTCTGCAAGCGCTTACGAGAGCTCCTTTCGAACTGTTGGCCACAGTCAATTTACGTCTTGTCTCATGGAAGACAGCATTCCTAGTTGCAGTTACCTCAGCCCGGAGGGCCAGCGAACTCTGCACCTTATCTCAGTTTTCACAGAGAAAAGGTTTCATAGAGAAAAGGTCCTGAGGCTCGATCCATCTTTTCTGCCTAAGGTAGCCACACCCTTTCACATGGGGCAAGATATTATTTTACCTGCCTTTTTTCCGGCTCCGTCTACTCCATTAGAAAGGACATTACATTCACTTGACGTTCGACGCCGTTTAGCATTCTACAGATCCAGGACTGAGTCTATCCGACGTTCACATAGACTTTTCATTAAATATGCTACCAGGGGCCAAGGTACCCCTGTCACTCCGCAGAGACTTTCTAAGTGGATAGTTCATACCATCACCCTGTCTTCCAACTGGCCAATATCGACTTGCCCACTACCCCTCGAGGCCATTCTACTAGGGCTGTGGCTACCTCATCGGCCTTCACATCGAGAATACCGATGGACGATGTATGTAGAGCTGCTACTTGGGCGAATCCTTGCACTTTCGCCAAACATTACCGCTTAGACGTCCGCGCTCGACAAGATTGTTCCTTTGGCAGAGCTGTTTTTTCATCTGTTCTTCATTGAGGACACCTTCCCTCCTCCGTTATGGTAAGCTTGTTAATCTACCCATATGTGTGATGCACAGAGGCCGCGACGAAGAAAAGCAGGTTGCTTACCTGTAACTGATGTTCTTCGAGTGGCCATCTGTGCAGTCACACAACCCACCTGCCGGCCCTGCTTGGTGTCGGTGAGTGGACCTCTGTCGTTATTGAATGTTATCATTGTTTCTTGGTACCGATATTCGTTGTTCTCTCGGTACTGATACTGTTCACGGTAGAACTCATTTACAAGTCATTTTTTCCACAAGAGGGCGTCCGTTCGGTCGTCAAAGACTGAACAAAATGGCGGACGTTCCGCTCTTTATAGGCTGTGGGGGAGGGGGAGCAGAGCTTTTTCCCACCAAAATAAACCGTTAGCTTGTAATCTTCCAGCCAAAGGCACTGCGCAGGCGCAGCACCCATATGTGTGACTGCACAGATGGCCACTCGAAGAACATCAGTTACAGGTATAAGCAACCTGCTTTTCTTGTAGATTAATGCTCTACGTAGCTCTTTGTCCCTTTCTATGACTTACTGAAATAATGCTGAATAAAGAAACAATATATGAACCTTTGGCTAATTATTTTTCTTGCAGATACAGAGGTTCATTAGACAATCATTAATCAAAAATGAGTTGTACACTTGTGACTTTCCATTTTCAGTTTATTGTGAATCATGCTTTGCTCTGCTGTCTGAATCAACAAACTGGTTAGTGCTTTCCCACCAAATCAGAATTAGAAAAACACTTAAGTGAAGCTAGTTTAG